GCATGTGGTGCTGGGAGATTGAACCAAGGTCCCTGTGCTTTGGTTAAGCTTGTTCTGAGTAGGTGCTTTAGACCACTGAGCCATCTCACCAGCCCCATACAGTTTTTTGTTTTATTCTTTGTGCTTCCTAATGTTTTCTCATTTTTTCTTTCTTTCTTTTTTTTTTTCAATTTTTTTTTCCCCCCCCCGGAACCGGGGATTGAATTTAGGCCCTTGTGCTTGCCAGGGAAGCGCTTATTCCACTGAGCCATCTCCCTGGCCCTTTTTTTTTTTTTCAATTTTTATCACTGGTCTCCATTTAGATAATTTCCTACACTGATCTCCGTGTTTAAAGTCTTTCTCAACTAGATCTAATATACTAGTAAACTATTTAGCCCATTTATTGAATTTTGAATTTTAATAGGTAGTTTTTATTTCTATGAAAAAATTATACAGGAAAAATGATCTTGGTGGATGACCTCCAAACGATATAGGGGGAAAAAAATGAAACTCCCAACCTGAAAGGTAGCTGAGATGCATTCGTGTTCTCTAAAACTGAAGAATAAATTCTAAGAACTAACGGAGGTTATGAACAGAATATCTTTATTAAGGGAAAGAAGGGGAGCCAGGGAGATAGCTCAGTAGAATAAGCACTTGCCTGGCAAGCACAAGGGCCTGAGTTCAATCCCCAGTACCACCAAAAAAAAAAAAAAAAAAAAAAAAAAAAATGAGTACACTCCAGGGAAAAACTTTGAAAAAAAAAAAAAAAGAAAGAAAGAAAGAAAGAAACGCTAAGTGATAAATACAAATAATAATATAAGAAATTTTATATAAGAGCATAAAATATTACAGACAACAAAGAATCCTAAGAATTAAAAAAAAAGACCTATAATTAAACCCTAAGTAAAAATAAACACAGGAACCACATAATCTGCACTTAGAGTCCACCCAAGAACCTCGGGGCAGCCAGAACTCATTCTACCCAACCCCTGGTGAGACTCAGAGCAATGAACTTTCAAACAGGCAGTAAGTCAACGGCTTAAAACTTTGCATGTCTAAAAGTATCTCATCATATGCCCAGGGGCCCCGTAATGGTGAAATGGCCAGAGAGGAACAAAGAACAAACATAGAGCTAATAATTACTTTTCTGTCGCTCTTGTCCTCCCAGAGGGGCATCTTACAACTCTTCCCTTTTAAGAAAAAGAATACAGAGAACAGAAAGTGGTATATGGAAGAGACAAGGATGACGATCCTTGCTTGTCCGCCCAGATTCTCCACTGGTTTTACATCCTTCGTTTTCTAATGTTGAAATGGACCAGAGAGCACACATGCCTTTAGAAAGATTCCCAGTTCACTTGAAAATATTTGCAAAAGATCTGTCTCTGTTTGCCTGGGTTACGTTTCAAACAGAAGGTGGGGGGCGGGGGGGGGCCTTCACAGAAAGCGATGGCTGGGGCTTGAAGAATCAAGAGGAAAGGAAGAGGTGGAGCAGCAGGCTCTGGAATAACAAGCAGAAGCGAGGACACACAAGATCCCCACGGTTCCTGGGAGCAGAACACTACAGCTCAGGTCCCGCGACACTGGACACAGCAGGTAGGAGCCCCGGAAGAGGCGCAGTCTGGGAAGGCCAGATTCACCAAGTTGGGGAAAGATACAGCTATAATCTTGCCCGTAAGTCATTCAAATGTTCTTACCAAGTAATCAGTTTGAAACGAGGGCTCAGGAAGAACCTGGAAATCTAGGTCTAGAAACTGCCCTCCATGAAGATCAAGGTCAAAGCCATAGAACACGTGCTTGCTACCAGAGTCAAAGGGATCCCAGATGACCAGAGTCAAGGTAGAGGCAAATACAGTGATGAGGGATCGTCCATGGCCAAAAGCAAGTCAGAAGACTTTTGTCCTTCTGTTGAAAACATGTGTTCCTGACTGAAAATTTATGTGAACACAGAAAAATGCTGCCAAGGAACCGCGCAGACAGGAATACCGCTGTGACACGCATGGCATTTTCCGATCACACCTCTCCTTGTGTGATGTCACCGTGCCTCCCTGTAACAATGCTGAGCTCAAAGGGGCGATGGCATCCTTCTTGTTACAGAGATGAAGAAATGGGCTCAAGTGGCAGCAAGTGGCAGAACCCAGCCCCAAACACAGGTTTCCCAACTCCCAACCTGATGGTACTGCATCTTAGTGGCCCAAGCGTAGCCAAGGGGAGAGGGTCACCAATCTGTGTGTGTACTGTCCTCTATTTTTCAAGTACATACCGATGGTCCTTTTATTGTAGCTTTCATGCCCTTTTCTTCTGAAACATTAATATACTCTCATGGTAAGTAAACTCTAATTTTACAAAATGGTACCCAACAGAACACAACCACTCCATAATCTCTGCTCTCAAGATACCTGCCATTAATAGTTTGAAGCATTTTCTAGTACCCCATTTTCCATATATACTTTATGAATATATGGGTAAGAGCTATAGAAATGTGTGTCTGTATTTGAATATATTTCTCTACGACTTGCAAATGTTTCCACTGAATCCGTTTTTGGAAGCAGAATGTTGAGTCACAGTGTATACTTTAGATGTCAGTATATACTGCCAAGTAGCTTTCCAAGGAGTTGCGCCCATTTCTGTTGGTTATGATATGTGAGTGACATATGTGAATACTTAAAATGTAAAATTTCTATGAAAGACAAAAACATCACAAGCTGATATAAGTAATAAACTCAACAAGATATTTTGGTTAATTTCCCTCAGACATAAAACCTTTTTGCAAATCAAAACACAAAATTTAACACAAGTAGCAAAGGTAATAAAAAATAATCGCAAATGTATACAGTAAAAAGGCAACATTTAATTCCATACAGCAAAGAAGTCCAAATTAAACAAAAGCAAAGCATTATATTTTACTCATCAAACTGATCAAAAAAAAAAAAAAAACTGAAAGAATAGAGAAACAAGTTCTTTGGCAGAGAAATGATTCAACTTGTGCAGGCCATTCTGGCCACATAGGAATATTTTAATATTTATAAACTGAGCCAGAGCACAAGTGTGCAGCAGCTGATTTATGGAAATGCTTAAACGCAGTGTTGATACCTGTAGGAACTTAGAAACTGCCTGCTGGTAAAAAAAATTGCTTAAATTATTGTTAAACCTTACAATGGAATATCCATGGGCATAAAATAGTTGATCATGTTGACATAGAAAAGTGTTCATGACATTAAAATACACACAGATAATCTATTTATATCTATGTATACAAGCCCAAGGAAAACTATCTTAAGATACAAACTGTTAAGGTACAAAAAAGTAATTATAATTCCCTCTGCATGCATGAAAGGCAGACATGCACGATTGCTTTGAGCAGTACCCAGCTATTAAGGCAACCATTAAGACTACTGCCATATGAAAAGATGAGAACCCTGAAAAAGTGGGACTCAGAGGCCCAGCGCTAGATTATGTCCTACGCCTTTATACATTCTAAAATCGAATATGACAATTAAGGAAATACTATAAAGGAGCTGCTTCCTGTGGGGTAAAAAAATCTCGCTCAAGATTTGTCATTTTCCTAGATCTTTCTGGGAGACTAAAATATGAGAAATGTTTTAAAACAAAAAGCCATTCATGGGGCTTTTTGCTGCTCGAGTGCTAATGAGGGTTACATCCTGGGAGGAGGGCAGGCTGCAGGGAACACAGAGATGATGAAACCCTAGTTCAGGCCAAATTTTTTTTTTAGGTTTCGGGATCCCAAAGAAAGAACATCAGTGCAAATCTCCAAACTTAGGCTTCAGAGCTACAAATGGGGGTTCAGTCTTTAAGATCCATGTGTATAATATTATCCTACTGACACCAAAGATGACCATTTCTGGCTTGTAAGTGCAGAAGAGAAAGAGTTCAGGCAAACACGGCACATTGGATTTACAGCAAACTATCAGACAGTATTTATTACCTAACCTTTACTCACCACATTTTTAGGTGCTCATAAAAGCAGACCCAAATATTAAATTATGGCTTTGACTCTTTGCTTATGTAGTATTTTTAAAAAAGTTAAATAATTACCTCTCCTATGAAGACTACTATAACACAGTCCAACTTCTCTTCGGGGTACAGATTATCAATAAGAGAATGAAGAGTTTCTATGAGGTAAGATTTAACTTCTCTCTTCACTGTGGGAATTCCCATTACTATTGAAACTGAAACAAAATAATATAGTAAGTATATAAAAATGTTACAGGACAATACAGAAAAACACTGCTACTTCAACAGTATTACACCTTCTTAAACCGATAGGAATATTGGAGGGATTCTATTTCAATTTTAGAAAGAAAAATAATCACAGGATACCAAGGGCATGCCTAAAATATTGTTTTTTCCACATGGCTTACCTATTAAAAATATGTAACATCAGACGTCAGAAGACAGATAAAAAATAAAAGGGATTAAACTTCATGCTAAAACGAGAGCTATAAAGAGCAAATTTTATTACACAACAAAACTTAGAAATGAACATTCAGAACATAATGTCTTATGTATCAGCCCCAAGGGTATGACGCACTGAGAATGATCCAACACCACTTCTGAGGTTTCCTGGTAAAAAATGCATCACTTCAACCTAGCTGGGAACGGTGCGGATCAGACAGATCTGCAAAATACCCAGCCAGCACTCTTTGGAGGGTCAGGGCCATGGAAGACAAAGAATGACCTGCTCCGGGTTACAAAAGGCTGAGGAAACATGACAAATGAAATATGGAATTCTGAGTCGGACCCTGAAGCAGAAAGCGAGTGAGGAAGATGGCAACATCTGAATAAGAGCTCGAGCTAGTTCATTCCCTTACACCAATGTTCATCTCTACTTTGGATCACTGCACTATGGCTGTAGGAATACTTGGGGCCACTCCCTAAGAACCTACAGAGACTTCATATACTGCAGGTCTAACATTACCATCGATTCTACTACATTGCTTGGTCTAAATGCAAATCTGTTCCTACATGACTAATATGTTAGGGAATGACTTAGGCACAACACATTTTATATCTGCTCAGATGAAGTATCTCCTCTTTTAGACAGTATTCCAAAGTGAATTTTTAAAAATTTAACCTAAAGTCCTAGTATTCTATATGTTATATGTCAGAGAAGTATTTTTCAAATGTTGAAAATAATTTAATCTTAATTATGGAACAACTTATTGGAGATGCTATAAAAGAATTCATTGAATTCTAAAGCTGGAAGGAAATTTGAAGATCACAGATCAATTGATCTACCATCATGATTTTGCAGACAAGAATACTAAGGCCATTGCTATTTGTTTCTCAATAAATTTATGGAAAAAAAAAAAAGAATACTAAGGTCCCAAGGGTCAAGGGAGCTGTCCCCAAGGTTCAAGGCCATGTCCTCAGCTCTTTCCTTTCAGGAAGGGTTATGAATGACTCAAAAAGGAACCTAATAAGAGTTACACACATCTATTAAATGCAACACTGTACTCTAGGTGTTGTGCTGTACATACAGTGGTGAATAATATAAATAAGACCCCTGCTCTCATGGGTCTATGGAGAAGTAGGAGCATGAGTCAACAGTGTAATCCTAGAGGATAACATGCATGCACTACACAAATTTACATGAAGTCATATGAAAAAGAACAATGACTTGGGTGGGGTGGCGGGTGGCTCTGTAGACTAAGGCCATGGAAAGATTCTCTGACCCCAACTGAGTTGGTAATGAATAATGAGAAAGAGCTGAGGAAGAACATTCTAAAAGAATAAACAGCAGGGCCCTGAGAGCATAATGCTCTTGACATAATAAGTTGCAGGAAGAGAATATATCTGAAGCAGAATAAGCCTAGATTTAGATAATTAGTCTGGGGTTAGGTCACATATCACAAAGTTTGAATTCTGAGTACAAGAGAAAGCCTCCTAAGGCTGTAGGCAGGGGAGTGATATTATCTGATTCATAATTTTAAGGGATTACCAAATTTTATAGAAAGTCACAGCATTGTTTTAAGAGGAGCAACACTTTTAGAAAGATCAGTTAGGGAGTTACTGGGATAACTGCAAGAGATGGGGATTTAAAGTAGGAGGTCTGAAGAGATGGCGAGGAGAAATGGGCTGGGGAGAGGCGAGCTAGAGGAGGGGTTGAGGAGAACTGGGGAAGCAGGCAGAAAAGGAGGTGCCCCTTACTCAGGGCAACACACCCAAGGGGAGAGGGCACCAAAGCTGGACTTCTTTTTTGACCACATTACCTTGTGAAGCTAAAAGCGAAAGAGTTACTGTGGGGGCAGATTTCCATATACTTTAATCTACCTCTGAATTTGAATTTGGAAAGATTCAAGCTGGGGGGTGTACTCAGGGTAAAGGCTCGCCTCACATTTATGAGGCCCTAGGTTCTACCCCCAGTAACACACACACACACACACACACACACACACACACACACTTTTCCAAATATAGGTTAAAAGTCGAGTTACTATGCTATGAAGCATTCCTACCTCATCTGAAGTTCAAAGACTCTGTTTAAAGAAACAGCAAAGCGCACTGCTCCAGAGTATGCAAACAAACGTGGTCTACAGTAATAACGCAAATTCTCGAATCTCTACCACATTCTTGGGATTTTTCATTTCTCTTTAATCTTTGATTTAGATGGCATGTTTAAAAAATAAACTTTTTTTCTCACACTGTTTTGGTGCTGAGCTTTAAATTCTTTAGTTTAAACCCAGACACTCAAATGACTCCAAAAGCACTGAAAATAAAAGTACTAATGTTGACCAAACTTACAGAATTAGAGTAACGATGCTTGCTGTAGTCACAAAATGCCCACAGAATAGGTTGCTTTCCCCTGCCTTCCAAGCTCATGGCAAAACTGTACTGTGTGGTTCCTCTCTGGTTAGGGAGGGTAGGGACATAAGTGTGACTAGGGAGGACAGCCCAGGTACGAGCACATGTGACCTCTGGGTGGGCGTTTCTGTGCGCAGCCTTTCTCTTTGGCCAGGCAGCCAGGTACAGTCACAATGGCAACTGCTCTGTCAGCCTGGATCCCTGAGCACCTCTTACCCGTGGAGGGCTTCTGTCAGGCAAAAGCATTCACATTTGTCAGATAAACCACTGAGATTTGGGGTTCACTAGGTACCACAGCATAACTCTGTCTGTTCTTGTGACCAAAAAAAAAAAAAAAATAATAATAATAATAATAATAATAATAATAATCTGTGTTCACAGTCTAAGAACTATTTGTATCCTAAGGGATTGGCTTTCAGGGGAAGCTCAAGGTGTGATTGAACAATACAGTGAATGTCTACCAGACTGTTCTAAACATTTATTACAGCAAAAACCACATCGTTGTTCATCCTAAAATGCTGGCTTGCTCACTCCATCACTCGTGCCTCTTTCGGAAGCAGGTCTGGAAGTCCTCTTCCATGCCTCGAGCTGTGCTACTGCAGCTGCCTCGATGTCCTGAGTCGATTCGAGACATTCCCTTTCACGGTCATTTGAGTTGTGGGCAAGAACAAGAAGGTTGGTGGAGCCAGATCCAGTGGGATGAATGAGGACCCACTACCATGTTGTTTATCAGCCTGACTTCCCGCTGGATGGCACTTGGTGGCAGCACTTGCCGTATTCACCACACCTTGTAAAGACCCTGAGGAAAGAGGACTCACAGAACTGCTTCAGAAAGTAGCTTCAAAAAGGATGGGAGCCGGCGAGATAGCTCAGTGGACTAAGTGCCTGCTTAGGCAAGTGCAGGGACCGGGTTCAATCCCTGGTACGCATGCTGCACCAGCCCCGCCCCCTGGGGAGGTGAGCAGGCCACCGAGACCGGGCGTGGGGGTGCACATTTGTACTCCCAGTGCTGGGGAGGCTGAGACAGGAGGATCACTGAGTCTGAGCTGCGTAGTGAGACCCTGTACCCAATACATAAAAAATAAATAAATAAATAAATAAATGGACAGGACAAGTGTGTTTGAAATGAGCTGGAGTATTTTGAAGCCTATTCATGGCAACATGGCTTTTGCTGTAATCAATTTCTAATTTGAACACACCCTATATATTTTAATCATATCTCATGTGTCAGCAAAGGGAAGAATATGGCCCTGTTATAGAGAAGGAAGCAACCAAATAGAAACAAGACCAAGGGGTTGGCTAAGGGTTCTGTTTCACGAACTGTTCAACGTTCCAACTCAAGCACTAGCTGGCTGCGTGTAATATCTGTTACGTACGAGACAATCTGAAATGCAATCATGAGACTGGCAAGGGCCCTACCTCACTGCTTATGACTTCACAGACAGCAGCTGCTGCTATTTCTGTTTTCTTTCACTTTCCCAGGAGGCTTTCAAATTCTAGCATGTATTTCCTTTCAAATCAAGAAAAATTTAGGAACAATCTTGATTTGACATTGACAAGGTTTAGTTTACCTTCAGTTATAACTAAATTGTATTCCTTTTTAAATATTCATTGACAGTCAAAAATTTAATTAAAAAAATTTTTTTATTTATGTATTTATTTGGCACAGGGTCTCGCTACACAGCTTAGACTCAAGGGATCCTCCTGTCTCAGCCTCCCCAGTGCCGGGATTGCAGATGTGTGCCACCACACTTGGTTTCAGTGGCTGGCATGGTATGTTACTGGGGATTGAACCTGGGTCCTTGCGCTTGTCAAGCAGGCTCTTAGACCCCAGCCAACAGTCAAATCTTTTTTACCTGTCATGTTCCCTATGACTTGACTTTAGTCATCTACTTCTCAGTCCTTTCCTGATAGTCTGAGATAACATTCAGATCCTGCTTCCTTGCTGCCCCTTCTCTGCCTCCATCTTCCCTGGTTTCTTGCTAAAATTAACTTCTGGGGAACTTTCTAGGCTCACCCTGGGTCCCAGGTCCTCCACACACATCTTCAATTATCATTCATCCATGAACAATGACTCAGAAAACTGATTCTAAATCAGATCTCATTGTGGAGTCCCAGATCTTAATACGCTGTGAGTTCATCTCTTCAGTGCAATGTGTCAAAATCACCTAGAAACTTAGCATATCCAAATGTCAGATATGATCTTCTCTTGCAAACCAGTGAAGTAAAATGCCTGTTGCCTCCCTGCCCACCACACATCCAGTAAGGCCATCCAGTAACCTAGGACTTACCCTCCACCACTCCCTCAGCCCACAAATCCACTCAGCCCGCTAGGTCCTCTTCGTTCCCAAATAACTCCTGAATCCACCTTTCTCCGGCTCTGCTTTCATCGCCTTAATGACCACTAAAACCAACAGCCTCTTATCTGATCTTCCACAGCAGCTCTTCTTCCCATAACTTCAGCCATTCTTCTTCTTGCAGGAAATGTGACCTTCACAAAATTCAAATCTCATCAAGTCATCCTCACAAGTCCTGGTGAAAACTCTCTTGAGTGCCTACCTATGCTCTTAGGACACAAACCAAAGCCCTACAACTGGTCTGAAAGGCCCCTCACTGTTCAGCCTCCACTTGTACGTCTAGCCTCATCTTGTTCCTGCCTCCCTCACTCTACACTTCACCTTCAGGATGAAATTCTTCATCATCTAGAATGCGCCATGTTCCCCTCCATTACAAGATGGCTGCGGTGCTCTTCTGGTTTTCGGGAATATTCTTTTCTCCCATTGTGACAGAAAGAATAATGACCTCCCAAAGATGGTGTGCCCTGAATCCTGGAATTTGAACATGTTACCTCACAGGGTGTCCTGAAATGGGAAGATTGATCGGGATTATTTGGTGTGCTCACCGTAAGCGCAGGAGCCAAAGAGAGGAAGGCGAAGGGGCCAGGGTGAGAGAAGTGGCGATATAACCACAGAAGGAGGGTCACAGTCAGAGAGTGATTTGAAGACACTATGCTTGGAAGATGCGGGAAAGACCCACAGAACAATGTAGGCAGCCTGTAGGGGCTGGAACAAATAAGGGAAGGGAGCTTCTGGGGGAACACACCTGACACCTTCATTTCAGGACTTCTTTTCTCCAAAATTGTAAGATAACAAATTTATGTTGCTTTACCTCATTGAGTTCCTAGCAGTTCTTTACAGCAGGCATAGGAAGCGAATGCACCCACCTGTATCAGTAAACCCCATAACCCACTGGTCCCTGGAGAGATGTTGCCAGCAAAAATTCCCCATACTTTCTAATCAGGCCACGTGGCTCTTTCTCGGGCTCCCAAAGCAGCCTTTACATCATTAACTGGGGTTGTAATTAGACAAGTATTTGAGTAATCATTGGAGCAATGCGTGTCTCCCGCACCCGTGAGAAGCTCCTCAAGGCTAGGAACCCCGCTGAGTCCTAGAGGGCAGTCGCCAGCAAAGCCTGGCACCCGGCAGGTGCTCAGGGACTTGGGCCTCACCTGCTGTCCCCCACAAGAGGGGTGTTTCCACCTCAGGGGAGGGACCACCCGACTCACCTGTTCCCAGCCCCTGTCTGCACCGAGGGTTCCTTATTCTGGAGAGCTGGATGCTCCTTCAACTGAGGGACATTTCCCTCTGGTATGTGATCACTTTCTCCTGGCTTTTTGCTCTCTCCTGAGAGACAGACATTCTGGAGCTGACTTCCCACCCCTTCCATCCCTTCTACACTTTATGCTGTGCACTGGAAGAACCCCCAGTCCCACCCTTCCAATACTAACATGATCTTTAGCTGTGTCTGTTCTTAACTGAGCCATCCAGACAGGAATTTTAAATGTGAGCACTGAAATAACAAAGCAAAGGCTTTTAACTGATCGTTTCAATCTCACTATTCACAGGTGAGCTGTCTTCTCCCATTTCTCTGAAGATACCATGGCGTTGATTTGTTTTCAAATCATACTCTGCACCACAGACTCAGCTCCCCTAAGGACGGGGTCACCCATGGCATCGATGCTGACCTACGTGGGCTGCTTAGAGCAGCAGCAGCCCGCCTACCCCTCTGCAGTTTTCCATGTCCTTGCCTTGACAGAATAGAATCTGGCAGACAAGCTTTCTTTGACCTAAAGAGTAGAAGCCCCTTTGAGACAGTGTCTTTGCCACGTAGTTCAGGCTGGCCTCGAATTCTCAATGAGCCTCCTGCCTCAGTTTCCCTAGTGCTGGGATTACAGGCATGTGCCACTATACCAGGCAAGACCTTCAAAGTTTTATTGATTTTAAAATTGCTTTTGTTTCCATTTGCTGTTACTAGTGAAGATATAGTCTAAGCCAATAAAAACACAACTGGATAAGGCATCTTACATAAGTAGTATTAAAAGGAGAGATACAGGATTTATATCAAAAATAGCAATTACTTTTCTAAAGAAAATAATCTGGAGTTCCTTTCTTTTTTTTTTAATGGTACCAGGGATTGAACTCAGGACCCTGCACTGGCCAGGCAGGCACTTATTCTACTGAGCTATCTCCCTGGCCCTAATCTGGAGTTCCTGCACATCTTGTTAGCCTATGCATCCAGAATCTGTGGAATGCCTGGCCTCAATAAATTTTTCTTGGATCAATAAAAAATGGAAGAATAGTCCAAACACGCTGCTTTAAGACTTACCCTCTCTAGCCAGGTGTCGTGGTATTCACTTATCACCCCGGTACTGCAGGAGGCTGAAGCAGGAGGACCACAAGTTTGAACTCAGCCTGAGCAACTCAGTGACTTAGCAAGACCTTGTCTCAAAATAAAATTTCACAAAGGGCTGGAGATGTAGCTCAGTGTGAAGGTTCTCAGTTCACTCCCCAGAACAACAACAAAAAAAGGAGGGCTAGCCAAATAGCCCAGTGGATTAAAGCACCTGCAAGCAGGCGCAGCAGGGGCCGAGGTTCGATCCCCGGGCCTGCCATGCTAGCCCCGCCCCCGGGGCGCACTGAGACAACAATCGAGACTGGGCGTGGTGGTACACGCACCTGTAATCCCAGCACTTGGGAGGCTGTAAACAGGCAGATCACTATGAGTCCAACCTAGTAGTGAGACCCTGAAGACCCTGTAGACCCTTCCCTAAAATACAAAAAAAGGGGGGGGGGGTCGCCACTCATTAGGAAGACAGCATATTATTTTAAATGATCAGTAAAGTAGAAACATAGTAGGACTAAAAACTGGATGGATGTAAGACTTTACAAGTGCAGATTAAGAAACAGGAGAAAACAGCCCAAAACATGACAGGACAATACTTACAAGTGCACCTGAGTCACAATCAGACTAAGAACAACTTGTCAACAATAGTAATGAATTTTAACACCTGTGAAGTCATCATTTTGTCTCACTTATGATTTGCAAGGGAACAAAATAATATTTTACTCTCTGCATTCCAAAATCCACAAAAGGCCAGGTGCAGTGTACCGGAAGTTCTCAGAAGGCTGGGACAGCAGGATGACCTGAGCCTAGGGAGCTCAAGCTGGCCAACACAAAGAGGTCCCAACTTTGAAATATATTTAATAAATCTACAAATAAAATTTACTCCAAAAAGAGATAACAAAGTCAAAATGAAACTGTAAAACATACAAGACTTAAAAACAGGTCCCCCAAAGAAAATTCAAGCAACTCAGTGGCTATGACGCAGGAGAGAAAAAATATACATTATCTTATGGGTATATAAGAAAAAGGGAGCCAAGCACAGTATTCCTATGACTGCATTTAAAGTTGAATAAGTCTACTTACATCTCTGTAAGAAAAAGTAGATTGGGAAAGACCGAGCCCACCTGGCGTGACTGTGCAAGCTATTAATGTTGAAATAAGACACAAGGGAGAAAAATCACCCTCTACTTCACAAATTTTAAAATAGAAAATGACAAAGGCTTCACCATTTGGCTCTCTGAACAGACGTCTCTTGATCTTCTCCTGCAGTATTATTCTAGTCTATGGAGAAAAATGCCCCGCTCCTTTCAACCTGGGCATCGGAAGGAGTTCCAAGGCACCAAGCACAGAAGAAAGGGCCTCTTTCCTCCGAGCTGCCCGACGTGAAGTGGGCACCATCACGCACCAAGTCACAGCTCAGACCAGTGGCACAGCCCCGACGCCAACATACCTCCTGTCCTCCCACCGCCTATCTGCACGGCGGGCTGCAGGCTTCCTTCATTTTGCAGTAAGTGAGGCAAATGGTAATAAATGCTTGGCACTTGAAGAGCTTTTTTGCTTGTTAACTCTTTCAGGAGCTTTAGGGTGGTATCTGAAATGCAAAAGTCTAATTAATCCACAGGAACACCTTACCGCATATAGGTTGCTGGTTGTACAAATAGGAAACATTGATAGAATGTCCCTTCCTAATATGCCTTGGGGAATGAGCCTGCCACATAAGATGCAGGGGACCCTGGCATGATCCAGTCTCCCAGAGGGAGCCGAGGTCACTGAAGGCACCAGGACCAGGATGTGGTGCAGCGCCAACTCTGGGCCTCTGAGAAGCCCCAGAGCTCGGGCCTTGGGCCGGCCAGATGCCAGCGTGCTGGCCACCTTGACACGTGCAGACAGCAAGGTGATCTGCACTCACCTCCCCTTGTTAGTGTCTCCCCACACCTCCCATGGAACAGCCATTTCCTGCAACACTGGATTGAAACAGGCCAAGTTGAAAATATTTAATGCAGATCACAACCTTCAAACAGGTTTGTGTTTTGGGGGATTTTTTTTTTTTTTTTTTAGAGGAACCAATAAATCATGCAATGTGTTAGGAAATAAAATTTGGGTTATCCAGGCACACACGTAATCCCAGCTTCTCAGGGGGCTAAAGCAGGAAAAAAAAGCTTGCGGTCAGCCTTGGCAACTGAGCAAGACCCTGTCTATAAATAAATAAATAAATAAATAAACAAACAAACAAACAAATAGTGGCAGATGTAGCTCAGTGGCAGAGGGTTCACCTAGCTTAAGGCTCTAGGTTCAATCCCCAGTACAATAATTTTATAAAAAACTTTTAAACAGTCTTGGGACTAGGAAATAGCTCAGTGGTGGAGCACTTGCTCACCATGGATGAAGTCCTGGGTTTGATCCCCAGCATAGGACAGAAAAAAAAAAAAAAAAAAAAAAGCCAAAAAAATGGCACAGATAAGCAATTTCATTTTAAAATGTCACTACAGTAGGATATAACCTTTGAAACAAGAAAGCTACAAGTAAGGATTTGTATCCTCAGTACATTTTAAAATATACCCAGCACGTCTGATGCTGAGGCAGGCGGATCACATGTTTGAGGCCAGCCTGGGCTACGTAGAGAGATCCAGGCCTGCCTAGACTATATAGCAAGCCTCTGTCTCAGAAAACAAACAGGAAATGGTGAATGAACTCACTAAGAAATGAAAGTCACTGTCACACAAGAAACAAAACTTTAATTCTATGAGTAAAGAAATACAAATTTTAATACACCATTTTCACCTATTAAGTTAAATAGCAAATATTGGTAATAATGTAATAAATGTCTGTTACTTAGAACAGCATCAAAAGCACTAAAAACTTGAGTCCTGCTACTCAATAATTTACCTTTCAAGAATCTAGCTTTTGCCAGGCAAGGTGGTACATGCCTGTAATCCCAGCACTGTGGGCAGCTGAGACAGCAGGATTGTAAATTCAAGTCCAGGCTGGTAAACTCAGCCAGATCCTATCTCTAAATAAAGAAACCTAAAAAGGCCTGTGAATGTAGTCAAGTGAGAAGGCCCTGGGTCCAATCCTCATATCAGGAAGAAAAAAAAAGCTTCTATGAATTCAACACATGTTTAGTAGTTTTTTTATAGCTTGTTCTAGGAATGGTACTCTGATGGTTGAAAACCAACAGTTATCGAAACCTATACCAGTTTTGAAAAAAGAAATTAAGGGCTAACAAAAATGTGGCCGACGCATACACAGAGATGTTCATCACAGGGTCAGAAGGTGAGCGGGGAAAAAAAGGGAAAACTCCTTTGACTACATGTAAAAAAGTGCTTATTATAGTCCATGACTGACTGGGTGATTACAGCCACTAAAAATAACATTTTGAAGAGTACTTAATGATACAGTAAAACTGCTCATGGTATAATTTCAAGAGTAAACATTCTGAAGAAAAAAAAATGCATGAAAAAGATGGAAAAGACACAAAAAATGTTAACAGACACCACTTGGCGCCATGTTTCTGGGTGGGTGTTTTGTTTTTTTTTTTTAATCTACATTGTTCCATAATTTTAAATATTACTGTGATGTAATACAAATTTATCATCTGGAGGGGAAATTAGGACCACAACATCTTAAAAATAAGGTAATGTAGTAGATGTCCAGATTAGAAAAATTCATGTTTTGGGATTTGGATTTTATCATTTTAAAATATGCTAATCTGGAAAGATCATGCAGGTCTGAAGGCACCTTAATTACAACCATATTGACTTAATAATGAGAATAAAAAACACAAAAACAGAGAAGATAACGAGCATTCACCTTACACTGACCAGATGTCCTCAGACAAGGACAGCAGGGCTGACCCTGCCAAGCGCCCACCCCCTACCCCTGCATCTTCCTCATTATAATTCAGATGACAGGGCCAGGGGGATGGCTCAGTGGAATAAGCGCTTCCCTGGCAAGCGCGAGGGCCTGAGTTCAATCCCCAGTTCCACAAAAAAATAAAATATAATAATAATAATAATAATAATTCAGACAACAGAAGCACTAACTGCTCCAAAGAGCCCAGACTTCTCCACGGGCCACCCGAAGTCTACACATGAGTTACGACACCGACGAACTGTCAGCACAAAGTTAAGCTTTAATTTCACTCTGAATATGTTTTCCCAAGATGAAGGTTCTTTACTACTCTCAGAGAAGTTTCTATAACTGAAATTTCCCTTGTTACATTCTTTTAAAATCAAATTTAATAACCAATAGAAATTATTTTATAATTTACTAGAACAGAAAATTTAGTGTGCTGATTTTTCTCTGAAAAGTGTTAACAAGTGCTGGCTAATAATTATTCTATGTAACTTCCAAATAACATCCTCAACAGAGTCCCTCGAAAATGCACTTTTGGGGCCAGGGAGATAGCTCAGCAGCATAAGTGCCTGCCTTGCAAGTGCAGGGTCCTGAGTTTGATCCCCAGTACCACAAAAAAAATTAAAAAAGATAAGAAAAGAAACCACACTTTTTGTAATACATAAACAGAATCATTTGTACCTGAAAATTTATTCATTGCATCCTTACTTCCATTTTTTTCTGCGCCTAAGCGCCGGAACTGTTGCACAATGGTACTTAACTCAGAAGAACGCTGGGAAATTCTGTGTTCTGCTATTCGTAGACGTTCTTTTAAAGCAAGAAATTCTCGTTCATAAGCAATTAGTTTTTCTAGAGGCAAACATTAAAAAGAAGTCCTTAATACACTTTCAAAAAAAAAAATACAAACAGATCTGTAATAGTGCCCTCAGGAGGTTAAGGGAGGAGGATGGCCATGAGCTCCAGGCCAGCCTGGGCTACCCTGCCCGCCCCCAGGAAAAAAAAAAAA